TGCTGACTTTCAATGACAGCTTGAGGTCTAGCATCTTTTTGGCTTCATTAAAGAGACAGCACAGAAGATACTTACCACGGGTATCTTTCCCAGAGAAACCTGAAGGTAAGAGAGTGAGGAGGAAGGGGAGAGAAGGCTCTGAAGCCAAGCAAATGAGTACGCTGAGATGGTAAGGTCTGACTGAGCGTAGGATTAGAAAACTTTCACCATCACCACCAGTGGCTCAGGAGCACTTTGTACCAATCAAGAGAAGTTCCTAAGGATTTACCAAGCTTCGATAGCATTTAATGCTCAAGATAAACTTCAGTCCTTCACAGTCCTGGAGAGATTAGCTCTTAACACTCTGCCATAAATCTGAGGCAGCACAGCCTGAGACATTATTAGAATAACAGTATCAGTATTACCAAGTGCACCCAGCAAACAAAAAAGGACATTATAACCATATATAAAATAAAGACAGGTATAAAAAAAAGAAATATCCAGAGGTGAAGCGGGACAAGAAAACGTAACAACAACAACAACAACGAGAATCTGTACTGAGCACAGGTCAATGAAACAGGAACTGAGTGGAGAGAAGTGTTTGGAGAGTGGGTGAGTGAGTGAGCTGGGGGTGTCTTACCTCGGATCGGTGTACCTTCTGCAAAGAAAACAAAGAAAATAAGTGAAAAGACTGTAAAACCCCAAACACCTGGACCGCCCGTGGGAAAAGGACCTGAGTCAAGGAAGACAGTTCCCAGTAGGAAACTTCCTGCTCTACCTCACCTTAAATTACAGGGACAGACTGAAGAGGGCTCAGGATACTTAAGGTGGGGACGCCCTTTTTAAAGCAGTCCAATTCAGCTGGCTGTTCTCAGAGCCTCCATGGCACTTGCCTTGAAATGTCTTAAGACTGGCTCCTTTTTGTTGCTAAGAACGCAACGAAAATCTTCAAGCTCTCAGCTAGCATCATCGTTTGCTACTTGCAGAACATATGATGAACCTGGACTTAACTTCATCACTCCTGGGTAAAAGGGTTGGCATTATGGCCTTGTTAGCCCAGACACGGACAGGGACGTCTAGGTACCCTGCATCACATTAAGAGTTGCAGGTTTGACCCCACCTGTGCTAGCAAATTCCCAGTTCCAAACTTTAGTTACTGGCACAGATGTGCGAGAAATTCGATGCATGTCCTTGTCAGGACCTCCAGTTATCCTTCAGCGGCTCTGCACAGAGACTGGAACCAGATGCTCTGCACTGAAGAAGGCCGTGCTACTGTACAAGTGAAAGGCTACCTCACGTAACTGGTCTGGAAGCCTCCCTAACGCCAGTGCAGGAGGGGGCTGTATGGAGAGAGAAGAGTCCTGCTACACTTGCCTACTGACTGCATCTCCCTTGGGTTGTTTTTATTCAAACCCCCTCCAGTTGCCTCTTAAGTGCTTAATATGAGTCTTCTGCCTAGGTGAGTCTCACAGATGAGAGGAAGTGACATTGCGGCTGGTGAACCATGCCACAGTCAATGGTAAAATCACTGTCCCCCCGTTTGACCTCCTGAGGTTGCAACCATCTTCCTTTGAAAACACGGCAGGTCCTTTTGCTCACAGTGGCATTCAAACTTGTCACACAGCTTATCAAAGAAGGGGGTTTAGTTGGTTGGTTTTTTACCCCAATCCTGAGAACAGGGCAGATTCCGCAATCGCAAGCATCGCCTCTTACTAGGGAGAAACGCAAGGGCTTCTCTGCAATGGTAACAAAGAAAAGCAGCACCTCCCAGCCAGGGCTTGAATAGCACATTCCAAGATAAACATCAGCCTTACACTCTCTCCTCTCCCCCAGTGAGGTACAGCAGCATTATGACCCCTGCTTTACAGATGGGGAAACCGAGGTAGAGGTGAAGCAACTTGTCCAAGGTCACAGAGGGAACTCTGTGGCAGAGGCGAGAACAGGAGCCAAAGCCCCCTGCATACCAATCTTCTGCCTTAACTACAAGAAAACCCCTTCCCTCCTTATCCTTCAGCCCTGCTCATCCTTCTTGTGCTGCGGTTCAATCCTCCATTTTCAGGATAGAAGGTAAAAAAATATAGATACTGATTACAGTCCACCTTTATTTTTCAAAGGAGATGAGGGAAGAGAGGTATTACCGTGTTAGGGTATTAGATTCTAGTTACACTCAGCTTCTAGTTAAGAGGTTAGGTTATTTGCTAGAGAAAAGTTAGCATCTAGTTAGGGTTAGGAACTAGCTAAGGTTAATAAAGCAGGCTGGTTAGCTATCAGGACAAAGGTTGGAGAGACAGCACTAGAAAGAGAAAGAGGTGGGGGGAGCGTGTACTTGGGCAGATCTCCACACAGGAGATGGCAGGAAGGTTTTAAAAAGCGAGCGAGAGAGAGAGACTAAGCAGCAAAGGGTTATAGTTCAATTCAGTGGAAATAAAAACAGCCTCTGATACATCCTTCTGTCTCAAAACTGGAGTGAAAATCTGCCATCTGTGGCACAAATCTGGAACAAGGCTAATGGGAAAAGGGTAGAGGAGGGGAAGAGACCCCAACATCACCCACCGCTATAAAGCTTCTTTGGCCTTGGCTAAGCCTGGCAATTTCCTGCAAAGGTTCACTCTAATTGACAGGAGAAACATGCTGGAAGTTAGAGCTATGTAAGGATAGATACAACAGCAGCCACTACCTCCTTGTGTCGTTGTAGGTTAGTTATTCCCTGTTCCCTCTAAGCATCAGTGCTGCTCCTGGAAACAGGCTCTCAGCAGCTCTCGGAGACAGTGCTCTTGGAGAGCAAGATAAGCCAAGCAACGCCACCTTGGTCTTTCCAGTTCTAACTCTGGCACACGGGACACGGAGGTGAGGAGCAAAGCATGTTTTGCAAGATGCCCCACACCAGGGATGGAGAGGACAGAATTTGAATCAAAACGAGATCAAGCAACTTGCAAGGACAGGACAGCAGTTTGAACGGCGGCAGGGACACAGATGGTAGATTTTCACTATTGGAGTTTCACATCTAACCAGCTTCATACTCAATACAGGGGCAGCAGCTAGAAGAGGGTATGAAACAGATTAATTATTCTGAAGAACTCCGTAAGATTTGATGCGGGGTTGTGGTGGTGGAGGGGAGGCACCTGCATTCACTGGCTTGCCTGGTGTCCTAAACAGTGCACGAGCGAACGTGCAAAGCGAACCACTGTCCAGGGCGGAATAAGCTTTGCAGGAAAACTAAAGGAGGGAGAACTCCCACTGGATGCCGACTTTCTGACTGAAAAGCTGGTTTTGAGATGCCACGTGCAAACTATATTGCTTTCCACAGCCTCCCAGGATCTGGAGATCTGCCTATTTAGGGCAAATTTTGAGGCTGCATGAGCCCAGATGGCCAGCCTAGCGCTCAGCAGCAGAGGCAAAAGGCAGCTTAAAGGACTTGCCTCTGGATTATGAAGGACCAAGATGGTGCCAGGCAGAATACCACACACAGGTGTCCCCCTCTGTCACAGAGGATGGGATCTGCTCTTTCACTATCCCTTCCTCTGACTTCCCCCACACCAAGCTGCCTACGGATTCTCCAAGCCTTGAAAACACAGAGAGGAGGACAGTCACCATTGCCATGGTAATGACAGAAAACACAGCCCCACCTTCTGTCAGGCCACGTGTGAGAACATGTGTGTGCTGTGCTCCTCTCCCGAGGGCTGGAGAGAGCTTTCTATTCTAAACAAGCAAGCAATCATCAAGGGTCTTCTGCAATTTTAAAATGCCGGATCCTGGCTGACAGCTGCAATTGCTACATCTCCAGTAACAAAAGGGGACTTGGCACACAGAGGAAATGTGACGTGAGCTCTGCAGACAGGCCCC